AGGGTGAAAGGGTAAGTGTAAACACTTAGAAACCCTTCCACATAAGAAGTGATGTCTTCTTCGGGGGCCAGAATCACCACCTATTTATCTTCCCAATGGCAGTCTTTCTTTACCTTCTCAAAGTCATTCTCAGTTATCGAGCATGCATATCTCGACATAGGCTCGCACCGACAGGAGACCGACGAAGTCTTCTCGACTTTGAAGTCAGAATCAAGGACACACCCCTTCTCGGGAACGCACTCCTCAGGGTGCGGCTCCACCGGTGTTTTGTCGTCGGTCGACCGCGATAGAGAGACTTTCTCCTTTTGAGGAACAATTTTTGATATTTTTGCCATTTTCGTGTGAGTTTAGAGAAAGAAGAAGAGAATAAGGCATGGTGTTTTGAGGGGAGGTTGACAACGAAGCCTAGAGATTGTGCAGAACTGAAAAGCTTAAGAGATGTAAAGAGTTTTGAAGATTAGAGTAGAGATCAAGAGTAAATGTTTGAGCAAAGAGAAGGAGAATACATTTATAGGATGAAGATGACAGTTCAGAATCAATAGTGGCCGACAACAACTGATAGTCATTTAATGCCTCGATATATGAACTGACGTGACGTTTTAGTTACTTCCATCGCTTACGTCACGAGAATGACGTCATGACAAGTCGAGGTATAAAATCGAAGGCTCAATTTGTTTCTTCTCATTACACTCCAAGAAACGAGGGGACTATCTGTATACGGTTAAAACCAGGCCTACCCGATTTTACTATTTGATCAAGGCCAGGAAATTACATCGAAGGCCAGCCTCATAGCGGATTAGACCAGAGCACGAAGATGAGGTATCTAGTTCGGGGTCGAGGTGCCTGTCGAGATCGAGGTCGGCAACGATCGAGACCAAATACGGCAGACTTCAAGCAAAGCGCAATAACGGAAAAGCGGGATATCCGTGACCGGTCAAAGATCACGGCGGAAATTCCGGAACAGATCAAATCAAGGGCGATTGTTCAAGATAATCATGGGATTTACTTCCGTAATTAGAATTGTACCATAGATAGGATTCCTCTACTGTATAAAGAGGGTTTTGATCATTTTGTAAACACCTTACAGTCACGCATATCAAGACAATACTATACTTTCTGGCTTATATTCTTGTTCATCAGCTTGTTATATTTTAACTATTTTTGCATAAACTGGTTCGAGGGTATTCAAGCTCGATGGCTGAATCATGTTCAAATACTGGTTTGCTTTATATTATTGTTAATTCCTATTATTTCTCTTTGCATTTATCAATTGATATTAGGTGAAATCACGTATTTTTAAAACCACTTTATAATTTTAATTGTTATCCAAATTTAAGGGTAAACAAATGAGTCACACCAAATTTCGCACCCCCCTTGATAAAGAACTTTTATCTCTGAATTAACAAACAAAATAGTAAGGATAAATCTTTGAAAAATAAATGCAGCGCCCCACATATCAACAAAGAAAACAAGACACAAGTATATACAAAAAAGTATTTTTTTAATCGATAGTATTATTTCTAAAATTGCATAAACATATGAAATTGATAAAAATAATTCATTTGTATACACTAAACATACAAAAATATGTACAGCAACAATAATAAAAAAATAATGTGAAGTTAATTTTGTGGGATAACTCATATAATCAGTATACAAAAAACATACAAGAATAAACAAATTATCTAATTATATAAAACACAATACAAAACATACAATCTAATGTACAAATAATATACTTTCTGGCTTATATTCTTGTTCATCAGCTTGTTATATTTTAACTATTTTTGCATAAACTGGTTCGAGGGTATTCAAGCTCGATGGCTGAATCATGTTCAAATACTGGTTTGCTTTATATTATTGTTAATTCCTATTATTTCTCTTTGCATTTATCAATTGATATTAGGTGAAATCACGTATTCTTAAAATCACTTTATAATTTTAATTGTTATCTAAATTTAAGGGTAAACAAATGAGTCACACCAAATTTCGCACCCCCCTTGATAAAGAACTTTTATCTCTGAATTAACAAACAAAATAGTAAGGATAAATCTTTGAAAAATAAATGCAGCGCCCCACATATCAACAAAGAAAACAAGACACAAGTATATACAAAAAAGTATTTTTTTAATCGATAGTATTATTTCTAAAATTGCATAAACATATGAAATTGATAAAAATAATTCATTTGTATACACTAAACATACAAAAATATGTACAGCAACAATAATAAAAAAATAATGTGAAGTTAATTTTGTGGGATAACTCATATAATCAGTATACAAAAAACATACAAGAATAAACAAATTATCTAATTATATAAAACACAATACAAAACATACAATCTAATGTACAAATAATATACTTTCTGGCTTATATTCTTGTTCATCAGCTTGTTATATTTTAACTATTTTTGCATAAACTGGTTCGAGGGTATTCAAGCTCGATGGCTGAATCATGTTCAAATACTGGTTTGCTTTATATTATTGTTAATTCCTATTATTTCTCTTTGCATTTATCAATTGATATTAGGTGAAATCACGTATTTTTAAAACCACTTTATAATTTTAATTGTTATCCAAATTTAAGGGTAAACAAATGAGTCACACCAAATTTCGCACCCCCCTTGATAAAGAACTTTTATCTCTGAATTAACAAACAAAATAGTAAGGATAAATCTTTGAAAAATAAATGCAGCGCCCCACATATCAACAAAGAAAACAAGACACAAGTATATACAAAAAAGTATTTTTTTAATCGATAGTATTATTTCTAAAATTGCATAAACATATGAAATTGATAAAAATAATTCATTTGTATACACTAAACATACAAAAATATGTACAGCAACAATAATAAAAAAATAATGTGAAGTTAATTTTGTGGGATAACTCATATAATCAGTATACAAAAAACATACAAGAATAAACAAATTATCTAATTATATAAAACACAATACAAAACATACAATCTAATGTACAAATAATATATAAATATATCATTATCAAACGAACAACAGCACTACGCTACAAAGGCGGATACATTCAAAAAATAGCGTACATACAAAAAACATACAGAGAAAATACCAAAAAAAAATCATTTATGTCAAAGAATTACTATCATACACAATCAACTTCATTTGTAATACACTAAACATACAAAATATGTACAACTAATTATTAAAAAAATATATAAATATAATTTTTCTGAAAAACTCATACAATCAGTATACAAAAGACATACAAAAAAGAAACAAATTACTAAAATAGCCACATAATACAACATAAAGGAAATATTTTTAAAGTTGTACAATACCTTGTGATCAGATTCATCTTTACGGTAGCCGAAATCCGGATCAACCTTATTATTCTTTTTTGATTTAGTATCGTCATTAACTTTAATATCGTCATTAATACAGGTATTGCATGCCTAGAATTCGATTTTTAATTTTTTCTTCTTGTGAAAATACACCTAAATCAAAACTAGGTATTTCACCCACAACTTTTTCACAATGTTTCCGGGGTGATCTTCGAACTGCTGTGTTACCTATTAGTGTATCAACAATAGATTTTCCAGAATATTTTTTCTCACAAATTTATGCAAAGATTTCTTACCCATTGTTAGTTCTAAAAAAGGTGGAATAAAAAAGAATATTAAAGAGACAGTTTTAAAATGGATAAAAAAAATATGAATAAGAACAAAATACAGATAAATTAGAAAAAAAGACATTGTTAATGTAGATTGAAGCTTGAAAATTAGACAAAATAAAGAAAGACAACAAGATTCAAGACTTACCCGTAACTTGATTGTAGAGCAAAATTTCGAATTTCTTCTTTATTGTATAAATAAGAAAGAGATTTTGTATTATCGAAAGAGAGAAATCTGAAATCAAAAGCTTTGGAAGAGGAAAGAATCTGCAATTTTGGGATTGTAACAATGGATGATTGAAAGAGAGAAATCGGATATCAAAAGCTTTGGACGAGAAGTGAGTAAGGAGATGTTTGGGTTAGAAAGATTTTGGCTATCAGTGTGCGGTGGGTGTTGAGTTAGGTCCAAAGTTCATTTCTTTGTCATACTTTCAGGACAAATATTTGTTATTGTGTATGCTAAAATCCAACAATTAGGAAGAAAGGGCACTAGCAGGGTAATTGCAATGATAAATTGAAAGGCAGCAAAATAGTAGAAGAAAGCTAATATCTTATTAGTAGTTGTTGATAAGCTTACTAATGTATAAAGCCCTAAGGTCTGTTACAAGGAGAGATTAATAGTGAGAGCTAATATCATGTATTCATGTTGAGTGTCTGATTTCATTTTCTTTTTGGTCAAGATCTCCTGATATGTGTTGAGCGATATGAAAAGATGAAAGTTTTGTATTTCTCTTCACCTATACGGGCACGGATCCGAGTGTCAAGATTCGGCAAAATGTGGAAATTCGGCTAAGNTCCGTTAGTTTAGCTGCAACGGCCGCAGACGCAAGAAGCAGTTCCTCTATGGGAAATCGGCAGCTACGAACTAAGACGCTTCAGAAGAAAAGCTACATCCACTACCCGCATTCACCCTGACAGGCCTTCAAAGTGGAATTCTTCTAAGATCCATTGCTCGATTTTGCTGCATGCTCTGCTCCCAAAATGCGGAGAGACTTGCGCCAGAAGTCCGAACTCCGAACACGATCCCTTGTATTCTTGGTTTTTTTAAAACACAATATGAGACAAAAGTACTACAATATTGAAGGTATGTCATTTTCCATATCTTAAATCTGTTTTATTTTTAATTTTAAGAAATTAAAATCTCAATTTCCCCCAAATTTGTGATGGACTCGGGTCAAAGTATCCGAAGTTCGTTGACCGAATCAGGGACGTATCCCGCACCCGTCCCGTGTGGAGACGGGTGCGGCACCAAAAACGAAGAGTCCAACTTAGCTTAGATTACTGTAGTTGTATCAGCAAGGCTGCTGATTAAATAAATAAGATGATTGTAAATGAATTATCATAGACTTGAAATCCAAAAATGTGTTACTTATAAACTTTGCCTTTTGATTTACTACTTACAAGACTTGCTTCATAACTTTCAACTCTACTTAGACTGCACAATAATTATAAGACCAACGATCTTTCTCAAAATGACTTTCTTACTCTATCAAACGATCAAACTGAAATGGCTATTCGTAATAAATCCATTGTAATCTCGTCGATGAGTCCATTGAGCAAATGCTTCTCCACATCCTTTATAACATCATCTTTTTCAAAAAAAGCAAACATTATTTGTTCACTCCAACCAAAGTCCCACATGGAGTTCACATCTGGATTTCTGTTATGCATATCTTTTCCGATCATGTTATGTAGGTAGTCTGCTGCATCACATTCATCGCTCATATTCCCATCGCCACCATAGAACTTTAATGTGTCAAAATCTTTGCAGAGTTGCTTGATAAGATCATCCAAAGACCTTGTCTTTATATATCCGATGGACATTGTTGCATAAGGATGTAATGCTAGCTCCTGTCTTCTCGCTTTCCTTTTCATTATCTCATAACCGCAGTCTAGCATAAGTTTGACGTCTTCCCCTTGGTTATTTTGATCGCTGGCATGGAGAATGCTGATCGGTATATTGAGCTTGAAAAGTGCCTCGGCTGTGTTTAGGAATTGTTGACTTTTAATAACTGACTCCTTGAAGTGCTTTTCAGGTTCTGTCAATGGTTCTTGTGACACTAACCGGAGAGTTGTTTCTTGATCGTTTCTAACAAGATTGGAGATTCCTGTGCCTCCTTCTTCTGCAATATCAGAGGGTGAGGAACTTCATCTATAATTTTTATCTTATTTACATGTAAATGAATGGAATAAGATTTTTATATCAGTACCTGTCAATTTGGCAGAAAAACTTCTATTTTGTTCATCATTGAAAAGCTTAATGTTCTGTGAGACTTCTTGATGAATCCCTGCAACATCAACTATGAGAACCAGCTTACAGTATCATAGCTATATATCATCTAGTAAGGGCAACCTGGTGCACTAAGCTCCCGCTATGCACGGGGTCCGGGGAAGGGCCGGACCACAAGGGTCTATTTTACGCATCCTTACCCTACATTTTTGCAAGAGGCTGTTTCCACGGCTCGTCTATTGTGCTTTTCATCTAATGAACTATCTTATTTTGCAAGACCTCAAAACTTGAAGAAGGTTGAAGAGTAAGAATAATTTGGCTTAGAAACATCCGTTTTGATGCTGGTGATATTTGGTTATGGTTTGTTGGAGTTTGAAAAGCACTAATCATTGGGGTGAAGGGATAATAGGACTGCTATCTATAATTGTAAGGTGATAATACTGGTTTAAGGCGACCAAAGTGTTAAAACTAAGAATATCTGACTACTCTTCTTCTGAAATCAAACTAATTGAAATAAATACTCATGGTCTGACATACCCTTAAGTTGGTCGATAGCTTCTGATATCTTTGGCATATCTTCTCCATGATTCTGGTCCATGAATATTTCAAGTACTTCCAGTGTTTTATCTTGATGCTGCAGGAATATAAAAAAGCATGTTATGAAGATATTGCACATGTTCGACTAGTTTCTAGACATAAAATTACTCTGAATCATTAAAAACTTGTCGAGCTCACAAATTAGATCGAATTTTCTTCTCACAGATGAACTTACATTTTCATTTGAAATCACAGTTTCTGAACCTATCAGGTTGTTGCATTCCTTTTCCATTATTTCATTGCAGGAGGGACTCTTTTCTATTTCACTATGTAGTTCTGTCTGCAAATTGAGCATCTCCATGCTCACATCTGGCTTGTCGGATCTTCTGTTGTCCACATTTGCTTCTGTTGCCAAGCTTTCAGTCAACTGTTCTTCTCTGCTGTAGCAGCTTTTGTCATCTTTCTGCAGTTTCATGTCTTGCAAAGTTGCGGATAACTCCTCTATTTTTGGAGAGGTCTCAGTTCTATGAATTTCGGTATGACATCCCTTCCTTTCTGTAAGTAGCAGATTGATTGGCTTCTCTTGCTTAGATGATTGAGTGATACTGTTTAGCTTCCCTTCTCTAGATGATACTTCATTTGACAATGCATTTTGATCGGCATTTTTGTTCTTGCTGCTTTGCGTGATCACTATAGAGGTAGAAGAGTTCCGATTCTTGGCAAGAGCAACTTGCTTTATACCATTAGAAAAATCTTTTGAAGGTGTTCCATTTTTGGACTTTGTAGAATTTTTTGTACCGAGTGTGGCTTGGTTCAGAGAAAACTGCTTCTTCTTTAAACTTGCTGAACGATTCCTTGGTTTTGGTAAAGTTATGGTTTCCACTTGATTTGCTTTGTGTTTTCTTGCCTGCACAGTTTTATTTGAGAGCAATTTCTCCTTCTTACCTGCCTGATGCTTCTCATCTTGTCCTTCAGATTTTTTAAGATATCTGTCTGTCTCTTTCTTTTCTGTCCAAATTTTATCCACTTTGCAATCAGTAAGTTCTTGTAACACAATATCGATTGGAGGCACCCTCGATGTTTGTGGCATTTTTGGCTGTGAGTCACTCTTCAGGATAGGCTCCTTGATTTCAACTGTTTTTGTGATTTTCTCCTTAACACTTGTCTGATTTTGTTCTTTCTGTTTCTGCCGGAAGTTAACTTGATCTCCTGGTACTTGATTTACTTGGATGATTTTACTATGTTGCTTATCCATCATGTTGTTTGTCATTGGCAAGCCCGAGGGCGACGAACCTGTATCTTTGTTACCCGCTATACTCCGCTCCTCCTGTTGTTTAACTCTACCAGAAGAAACCATGTCATTGCTCCTGCCTGGAGATGCAGGGACATATTCAGCTTTAAGCGCGAATTTTGCCTCCTGAACTGGTAGCATGTTACTTCTTTGTATCATGTTTTTGTCAACACTAAGAGATGACCTATTCTCAGCGCCCGGAGTGCCAAGAGGACCTGCAGTTTTCTTCAAAACTGGCTGTTGCTTCTTTTTGGAATCCGACCCTTTCCTCGATGACTTGTTATCTTCTTTTGCTGGGAGTTCATCCAGTCCCATTAGTTTCGCAATGACATTTGAAATTCTCCCTTTCTCTGATCCAGATTTCGTTCTACTTGACTGGTTCTTCTGGTCCAGATTTTTGAAGTCCGGGGCACAACTAGCTGACCTTTTATGGGCCACCAATTTCTTAGGGCCGAGAGGTTGCTTTTCGTGCAGTTTAGGAGTTTCATTGGGGTATGTTAGGGCCATAAGCCGCTGTTTGATGTCATTTTTTGTTGTCTCTTTGGTGATATATGAGTTTTTAGAGGGCTTATCGAATGAAAATCTTGGCCGCTCTACTTGCTTCTGATCGCCTATCTTGACAATGCTGTTGTCATCTTCCTCATCCTCGTCGAGCAATGTAATCCTGCTTTTGCTTTGTGGCTTGATCATATGATCCGAAGCTTCCTGTAGGTTCACAAGCATTCTCAGGGACTCTTCCAAATCCATTGCTCCTTTCAACAGTTCCGTCCCAACTTCAATTGAATTCTTATCAAAATTAAGGCCATTGGAACAAGCTCTTAGAATCTGGTTTAGTTTTTGTATCCCTTTCGATACTTCATTGATATGAACATGAGAGATGGAAGGGAACTGACTATTCGCATATTGATACTTATCGATGCTGGTTCTCCTTTCCATCTTACTTCTATCCATTGATCTCTGACCAAATTGATGGAGAAATGTTAGCACAGGATTTCTACTTGAAGAATCCATCTTAGTAAACTTTCCTCCATTTTCAATAGCAAATGCGAGCGCCATTGAAAGATCTCCCACTTTCTCAGAGTTCTGTACTCTTCCAGTAGCATAGGGAACAATCTGTCCTGAAGATTCTTCAATCCGAAATGATCGGTTGCTGGTGCTAGACCTACTACCTAAGTTCCCTACTTTTGAATTAACCTGCAAATTGTAACATGTAAGGTGAATGGAACTTATTGTTACAAGAAATTCTCAAGGTGTCCTGATATTGTCAAGTGAACTTACGGATTCTAGAGTTTTTGTTTGTCGAGATCCTTTGTAAATTTGTCCCGGATTAGCATGAGCATCTGTCAGTTCAGACGTATCGCTAGTTTAGTTTTACACTATCTGTAACATATGCTTTTGCAAACTTTAAAATTGAGGAATGATATGACTAAATGTAGAAGTTCTAAATAAGTTTCATTTTGTTGCTTAGTAGTAGGAAAGAGTTTTTCTGTCTCTAACATCTTACTATGTGAAACCTGCAGAAAAATTTGTTCCACCTATGTGGAAACAGTGGAATTCCTGATTGATTAAAAAGGGCAGCCCGGTGCGCTAAGCTCCCGCTATGCGTGGGGTCCGGGGAAGGGCCGGACTATAAGGGTCTATAGTACGCAACCTTACCCTGCATTTCTGCAAGAGGCTGTTTCCACGGCTTGAACCCGTGACCTCCTGGTCACATGGCTTGAATTCCTGATTGATTAAAAAGGGCAGCCCGGTGCGCTAAGCTCCCGCTATGCGTGGGGTCCGGGGAAGGGCCGGACTATAAGGGTCTATAGTACGCAACCTTACCCTGCATTTCTGCAAGAGGCTGTTTCCACGGCTTGAACCCGTGACCTCCTGGTCACATGGCTTGAATTCCTGATTGATTGTGAACAATATTTTGGTGAATGTACATATACTCCAAGTATGTTTTCTCTAAACTTTTATATAAGTTGTGTGCTTCTCTTTGATTTACTCTTGCATCTCATGCTTCTAGTTCTTGAAGCAAAGATAGAGAAGGTACATATTCTAATTGATATGGTGCAAATCATGAAAGGGCGTCAACAAATCATTCTTGGACACGAGAAAAAGAAAGAAAACCAGAAGTTCAATGAAGTATGAATAGTCATTTGATAGGTTAACAACTCTTAGTTGTATATTGCAAAAGCCTTTATCTGTGATTCTTCTATTCTGAAAATTTGTCTTTGAACAATGCAAACTTGCATCTCTCATGAGCACGAGCCGAAGTGCTCAAACTACGTACTAATTCTCTGTCACAGTGTAATTATCATCGAGTTCAACACATTTCAGTCTAAAATATCAAAGTTATCACTGCATTACTAGCTTCAGGAAGAAGTGATCTACTATCTTGATTCTATTTATCCTCGTGCATAATTCAATCATGACATCTTAAGATGTAAAATGTAAAGATCATGTATTAGCATTTCATTAACTTACCTCTACTCGTGGAGTATGAATAGCTTGAATTTTGAGCAGCAGCCACCCTTTCTTTACGAAGCCTAAGATCATGCAGTAGCTTCTGCGCGAAATCCGACTTAGCTGACATTTTTGCTGTCTTACTTCACTCTGAATGTGGAACAGAGTTTTTGGACTAAATCTCCATAAATGAACTGCAAAATCAATAAAAGCAAATAAATGTAAAAGGAAGAATATTCTTAGATTGTGTTGCAGGTCAATTTCCTAGTAGATTGGTAAGGTATAGGAATGTAATGTGAAGTTGTTATGTCATTTTGGTGAGAAGGCTTTTTCAGTGTTGGGTAAGGTGGAAAGTTGGGAAAAAAGCAATAATATTTTGATGTTTGAAAAAAAAAAAAATTGTTAATCACACACCACTTGAGAAGATTGACGTGAAAGTTAGCTCTCTCACTCACTGTTTTTTCTCTATCAAAAACACTGTGGTTGCTTGGCTTTCATTCTAATCCAAGCAATGTATTGTATGGGCACCAAATAGCTTCAGACAAAAGATTTCTTTATGAACAATGAACAATCTCCTTTCCGAGAGGGCAGCCCGATGTACTAAGCTCCTAGTATGCGCGGAGTGCAGGGAAGGGCTGGACCACAATGGTCTATTAGACACATTTTTATCTTGCATTTCTGCAAAAGGCTGTTTCCACGGCTCGAACCCGTGACCTTCTGGTCACATTTACCTCTCAGGAGAATTTTAAAAAAAAAAATTAAAAAAATTACTCACGCTCAATTTTTACACCAAAATCCAAATCGATAAGTAGATGGACGTGTCTTTCATATATATATTTTTATCACTAACCATAGTTAATTAGTATGTATTCTCACATCAATTCATTCTTTATAAACTACTATAATCTAGCATAAATATCGGGTGTGAGTAAGTTTTTTCCTTTTTGTCGTTCTATTATCTGCTTTCGTTAGCTTAAAGATAGTCTCTAGTATGGGCGTAACATGGTTTTGGCTTGTTACATCAGCTAGAAGAATAATCTATGTTGGAGAATTTGCAGCTTTCATTTTGGGTATGGGTTGGTTACCTTTTACTAAAGCTACTTTGAGCTATGCTGGAATGGGAACTGTATGTTCAAGTGAGAGATGATAAAATTCCATTTAACGGGTACTGTATGTTCCTTTTTAGAAGGTTTATGAACCTAAATAGTTTTTTTTTCCTCTCAATTTATTTAGAAGTTCTTCACTAGCACTATCACCAACTAACTACCTCTATCGCTAGTTTTTGTCGCACAATTATCACCTTTACTGACAGCTATTTATATCAGTTAATGAAGAAGCCCAATGCAAAAAAAAAAAAATGCTTGTTGGATCTTCGAAACCGTTCATATCATTTTAATAATAATAAATTTGATATATTTTACCGAGAAGGTCTACGGGTCGAGTCCGTGCTCAATCAGCACAATCACCATTGCGACTTCCTCTGTACAAACCACAACCACCACCGACGCCACCTAATAATTGTCATCATAGTTAGCTGCTACCACTAGCTTTTAAAGTATACTTCATTTAAGAATCAATATATATTACCAAGTAAATTTATATGCTGTCTAAAATATTTAGAGTGACCGGAACCTGTCCCTGACCAGCTCGTAAGTAGCATCCCGCTGCTGGTCGTTAAAGCAAAGATTCGATACCTCTTTTATTATTAATTAATAATTGGCATTCTCTGATCGGCCTAACCTCGTAATACATGGCTATATACCTGACCTGAGACTAATGCAATCAGTTCCTTCCTTCGCCTTCTCTTTCGACGTTCGCCAATCAGAGAGGACAGCCGATTGAATCTGAACCTTAATTTAAAGATGGAAGGAAGACCCGGATGAACTTAATTAGGAGCAGATGTACTATTTATTGATAATTTATTCGAATTCTATATAAATTAGATATTAAATAGAGATTTATCAATATTCAAATGCATAAAATCAATCAATTTAAGTTATTTAGTATTCATATCTAAATACAATATTTTAGTATTGTATGCAATATGTATTCAGATTAAATTGGCCTTAATTGATAATAACCGACTGACAAGATGAAATAATCAAATATTCAAAATGAGCTTCGTCACTAAAGGGTCCTTAGAATTAAACTCGAGCCAAATTTTGTGTTTGCAGTATCCGATTATGGCTCAATCTTTTTGCATCAGTAAGACCAATCTCTTACCATGTTATTTTCCTATTTCTTGAGAAGTGTTTGATCCTTATAGAATAAGCTTATCTGAAGCATGTACTCAGTATTTATGAGTTAACAACGATTGAATAGGAGGCAAAAGCTTTTCCTATTCCTTCTCGAGAGACTAAGTAAAATAAATATATTTTTATGTATGTCGTGTATAACTTCAATACTACAATTTTTTACAACTATTTATGGAGCCTCTATACCAAATAATAAAATTAAACACTTGGGCTAATATCCAACTAACATAAATTAATAAAACAACATGATAGCTACTACGAAGTAGGAGTGGTGCCTCACCATATACTTAAGGAAGAGAGTCATCCTAGCCCTGACCGCATGCCACGTATCCTACCTCATCCTGAAACATATAAAGTAAGCCGGACCCTGGAGGGAGGCCCCTAAGGGCTGAGTACACCACATTAGTACTCAATAAGTGTCATAGGCTCTCTCTAACTTAAGTTTTTGGGACAAACTTTATAAAAATAATGCATCAATATTTAATATAAAACGATAAGAAATTTTATTACTTCATAATCTTTATTATTTTAAATAAAAGACAAGTGAAATATACCCACAATATAAACTTTTAAAACATTTATGTCAATCCAAGATTTTGAATAAAATCATACAAAATCATTCCATTTGCTTTAAGTCATTGAAATCACTTTCAGCTCCTTAAGCTTAAACATAAGAAAATCATCCGTATCTTTCACTAGGAGTAATATACCATCACCGACACAAGAAGGTCAACTAGGTTATGTACCTAACGGCAAGTATTATATACTCTACTTGCTCAAGTCGTCTCATTGTAGTGTCGTACGAATCGACTCAGTCATGCTAATAATAGCGCAAAATAGTACCCTCTCAAGGGAGAGCACTCTTCCGTAGTCTATACCACAAAGTGGCCATCTACGCCTACACGTGCACGTGTAGTTTCATGACGATGAACACAATATATCTGAAGTCAATCTCGATGAATACAAGTGACTCTCAAAACATTTGATACTTCAAAATAGATTCATAGTATAGTAGCCTCAAAGGATCTATTCTATCAAATCATAACATTCATAGAAAATCTAAACCATTTGAACAAAAATTAAATAAACAACCTTTTACATGTTAAAACATTTAGCAATTTAATATCAATCCTTAAAAGATACCACACGTGTTATTCTACTCATCAATTTTTAAAAGAAATACTTTTCATGAAAACTTATCTTTAGCACTCAAATATGTATACTCTTATCAATATGTAAGTTTTGAAAAAAAAAACCTATAATATTTACCTTAAGTATCATTGCCAACAAGATTTAAAATAATTTTATAAAATAACACGACACTACATATGCAACATAATATTTTAGTACATGGAGACATCCGTACTTGTTTGTCCCCATAAGCATGAAAGCATATTTGCAAACAACTTAAGCATTAACTCAAAACATGCTTTTAGAGAAAATCCCTTAGAAGAGTAAGTTTTAATCAACTTACCTCACTTTCGCTTTATTAACATTCACAAACTTTCAATCCTCTCCCATCATTCCAATGTTGATTAAAATGCTCAAACATCACCAACAAATTGATATCTACAATACATCAAAATATGATCTAAAATATTGATCAACATCCATTTATAGCTCATAAATTGATTACAAGCCTCCAACAACTCAAATCGCCAAATAGGTTCACTTACTAGCAGATTCAACTCCACTCTTATCATTTAATACCCATTTAAAGTCGTCAATGATACTATATTAATTCTCCAATACTGCCAAATTACTACTCATCGTCTTCATTTATCAACATTTCCAAAATATTCAATTTGGTGATTACTCAGTTGAACACTTTTGATTTATCTAGAAAATGATTTCATAGGTTTACCGTATCCTTTAATTTCATTTCTAAGAACACTCTTTATCTTCCCCATTTTCTCAAAAACACTATTCATGCCACGAACTAGGGTTTGTTAAATCAATATCCAACCATAACAACTTGAAATAAAATATTATAACTACTCTCATTGACTCATAAGAAATGATTTTGCAGAATTAGGATTACCTTCTTGAAGTTTTTCCATAAAAATCCAATATTTGAAAATTTTGGTATTTTTAAACAACTTAAAAGATTTTAGGAATTTCAAAGATTGAATGATGTTAATACTAGGTTTAATAGGATGTTATTAACTTAAAATATCCATAAAAACTCACCTTATATTCTTAAGTTTCCCCAAAGGTCGAATCTACCATGAAAGCACCAAATCCTAGCTCCAAAATACCCTCTCATCCGACCTTGTACTTTAGACCCAAGTTTCTGGGTTTCGGATGTGGCTCCGGATGCTTCGCATCACCAGTTCACTCCTCTTCGAATCCCGGACGTGGACGCTATGGCGGTACTTCACTACCATCCTTTGATAATTTCATCATAACTTCTTGTAGGAATGTCCAAATGACAAACGGTTTGGAGCGTTAGAAACTAGACTCGAAGATCTTTCATTTGATAAGTTGTCCACCACATAAATCCTTATATCTATATATATGTTCGTCAAAAGTTAGGTCTTGTGCATACTCATTTGGAACTTTAGTCTATCTTGTAATTTCCAGCTTGACTTAGACTTAGGGCTCTCTTTAGACCCCACATCACTTATAATATGCCTCGTACACTTATTATCATATCAATTAATATCCATCATATTAATAGTCCTCATCTGCACATAAAATAATATAATTAGCACACATCAACTTTCTTAATAGCGCTTAAGCACTTCGAAATGTTTTTGGAGTGCTACAAATATTAAGCTAAATAATAATATTTGACGCTTTATGTCACGACTCGGATTTTTCACCCTGGGGAGTCGTGATGGTGCCTACTAGTGAAAGCTAGGCAAGCCAATTATTCCGATTAATTTACCCTTTTCATTTTAAATCTCTCAATAATTGCAAGTTAACATATTATAAACATCAGAAATAATAACGCGGAAGAACGAAATTTAACAATTAGGCTAATACCAATACGAATCCATAAACATAACCACCCAGAACTGGTGTCAAAATCTCACGGACTATCT